ACGTGCTCGTTCAGTCCCAGTCCAACTGGCCTTGGTGAACTCTCATTAGATCAGTCCCCTTGTATCAGTGGGTGAAAGCACCCCTCGTGGTCCTGATTTCCTTTTTCATTTTCTTCCTCCTTCTGCTCCTCATTTGGACCTTGGGGGGCTCAGTCCGGTGCTCCAATGTGGGTCTCCGTCCGTATCGCCATCCATCATCGGATGAAGGTTCCCTCTGGTCTTGCTTTCTTTGCTCACGTTCTCTTTCCTTCTGCTTCTCATTTGGACCTAGGGAGTTAAGTCCAGTGACACTGGGACTAGTTTCCTCTGCATATACTGGATTTTTGGGATTCAGTCTGTTTGGATACTCACCTTCCTGGACCTGAAGGGAGGGGGGAGGAACTTGAACTTCCCACAGGGCAGGAAACCCTGACTGCTCTTAGGGATGGAGAGGGAGGAGGAGAGGGAGTAGGGGGAGTGGGAGGGTGTTGGGAGGAGGGGCGGAAATGGAAACTTTTATAATTTAATAAACTTTGAGAAAAAAAAGAAAAAAGAAACAATGTCTGAAACTGGAAAAAAAAGTAATTATTTTTCAGTAAAAACACGACATGTCTTGAAGGAGAGAGCCATACTCTGAACTTCTACATTTTCACAACAAGATTTCAAGATCCTCTTCCTTCATCTATCATAAGGTACTTATATAGAGACTTTCTAACACCTAAAGTCACTGTGGTTTATAGATTTTCTAGAATTATTTCAAAACTTTTTGTGTAAGTGCATGCCCCTCCCCTCTGGATTTTTCATAAGCAACACTACAGATTTGCTCATTAAGAGCCAGGCTATGTTTTTCACTCACATACTGCTGTGACCTTTCTTTATTGCTGTTATTGAAAGAGATTTTCGCGAGTTGGAACAAACATGAAATTATTGTCTCCAGAAAAAGCAATCTTAAATGGATACACACATGCATACATGTAATCAGCCCTGCAAATGCATGTTTTAACTCCCCAGATTCAAGCAGTTAGAGAAAACTATTAAAAAAATAAAACAAAACAAAACAAACAATTGCTTCTCTCCCAAAGGTACAGGAACATTTTTCCCTGTCATTATTCTCTAAGCAACACAAACAACAATTCACGTAGCATTTGTGTTATATTGGGTATTATAAATAATCTCAAAATGACAAAGTATACATGAGTATGTGTATAGGTTATATGCAAATTCTGTCATTTTATTTAAAGGGCTTGAACATTTGCAGGTTTTACTATCCACAGGGGAGCCCCCAAAATCATTCCCTCTTGCAGACCAAGGGAAGACTGTATGTACAAATGGAATATATGAGCTTTCGAAATGCTTCTCTAAATTGAGTTCTTAGCTAGCATCATGGTGACGACAGCATTATCTGTGCTGTTTGCCCTTAGAACAGCCTCCAGTCATCTGGTTATTTCTGCCTTAAGGGAATAGACTTAGCACGCAACCTTTCCTGTTTTCTTTTCTTTATTTTTTTCCATGTTTATGCATTGGAATGGATAGTTCTAGAAAACACATGAAGCCCTACCTCTGTCATGGCTTATTGCTCAGTCTCTCCAACTCCTAGGTATCCCTTTTCCCTCAAGACGAAGAGGGTTATCCATTTTAGGGGGCTGAGAATGAATAGGAATGATGCAATATGAACTTATGAAGAGTGTGGCAGCACCGAGAAGATGTTCTCAGGTTCAAACCAGGCCAAATCTCGCGCTGGGGGGAGGGAGGGTGGACACGAAGTTCCACCCTTAATCTATTTGCAATTGATACCTGCTGGAAAAGGCAAAGTCAGCTGTCTCCAATGAGTGTCAGCGAGCTTATCAGCCTCACTCAAGAACAGGCCCCAGAAGTCGTCGGCCAACACAAAACAAGACTCCGTATTCTGTTATTTATGTGTTTATTGGGGGGATAAAGAGGCTTCCTGTGGAGATTTGTTCTAATTTTGGATTTTGTTTTATTGCATGTCTTCTTTTAGTTTTAGTTTTCAGAAAGAGAAAAAAGAAAAGAAACATGAATTAGTGGATGGGGGTGGTGGGAAGATCTGGGAGGAGTTGGAGAAGATAAAAACATGATCAAAATATATCATATGAGAGAAGTTTTAAATAAAAAATATTGTCCATAGTCACAATGTCTAATTAAGGATGATTTTCTTTGCCTTATTCTGCAATAGAAATTAAATGCTTAAAAGAGTCCTTATGTAATAACTGAGCTAGTGAATTTATTTCTAGACACATTTCTGTATATATATATAAGAGTGAGGATCTCTGTTTTCCTAGTTTAGTGGCTGCACTTTTTTTTTAGAGTGTTCTAATATCCATAGATGAGGACAAAAACAAGAGAGCAACAACAAACTGTTCCTAAGCATGCAGAAAGATTCCAGATCTCCAAACCACTAAAGAAATGCTTTGTTTCCCACGAAGCAGTCTTATTTCAGTTCTGAATGACCATGAGTTGCCCACTTTCTCCTAAGTCATTAACAACAATTTTATCTGAAAAAGAAACAGCAATTTATATTTGCCGTGTAAATTAGTAAGTTTCGATGTAAAATTGTCATATATGTACATAAGGGATTTTGATTGTACTTCTATTAATATTATCCATACTTTTGCCCAAGTCCCTCACAAAGTAGGGTACCCTCCCAATACCATAATAGTCCCCTTTCTACTTTTGTGTCTTTCAAAAGTGAAGTTGTTTCTATGACTGTTTCAGGACTACGCGACTGTCTTCAGGACTACACCCACTTCAACCTCCCCTTTAACAAAAGGCAGTTATGTTCTGCCTGTATTAGTTAGGTTGTCAAGGCAGCTACCAAGAGAAGTGGCTGAAAACTACATGCAAAGCCATTAGCCATGCTTTCTGCCAGACTGAGGCCAGTGCCTCAATACCTATGGAGCCCCAAAGTCCTGTTTCCAGTTCTTTCTTCCCAGTCCTATGTTGGCTATGATTCTCTCCCCGTTTCACAAATGCTAAAACCTCTAGAATTCTAGTCAGTGGCACCAGAATCTGCAGCACTTCTTTTGATGAATTACGGTCTTATTCTTATTTCTAGCCATCCATGTTTGGAGCTAGCTCTAATTCTCAGGACAGTAGAGGGTCAGAACTTCTCATTGTCTTGATTCTGAAGAAAAATCATGACAGGAAAGAAACAAGCCTTTATCTACTGCCACACTGTGGTATGTGCTGTATATGTTCTTACTTGAACTTCATTCCTTTGTCTTGGGATGTTAGCCTTTAAAACATCGCCTTCTTCTCCACCTGCAATGTGACCATTCTGCCCAGCATCACCACAACCAGGTTAAACTTTGTATAGTGAAAAGCTTCAGCTTCTACTGTCATTGTCTGGGCTCCAGTTCCTTGCTGCTTTATACTCCCTTTCCTCTTTGATCTTTCTCCCCTTTTCCCCGCTCCAGAAATATTGAAAAATCTCCTTCAGGTACTGCAGTGTGCCTCACACCACTTAGGTGTAGCAATCAGAATGGGCAAGCGGCAGTACCTTTTAGGGTATAGGTCCGTTCAAAGATAAATGCTTAAAGTGGAGGCATAAGCCCTCAGGAAGGGGTTTCCTGAAATCATCTAAGCCCCTGGAGAATTCCCTTGAATTTTCTGCAGTGAGGTTACAGACAAACAAAACGAAACAAAACGAACCGAAACAAAGCAGAAAAAGACTCGCAAGACTTGCCAGACACCAAACAGAAAACTGTATTTAACTGTGAGAAATAAATGCTTGACTTTTGTTGGTTTTGTGTTGCTTATCAGGTCTGCGTTCCTTTATGACTATCCTCTGAACAGTACAGTAGGGCTTGTAGTGGGTTCTAAATCTACAGGAAGGGGGAGGAGCTTGAACTACCCACAGGGTGGGAGACCCTGACTGCTCTTGGGGATGGAGAGGGAGAAGGGGAGGGAGTGGGGGAGTGGGAAGGGGTTGGGAGGAGGGGCAGAAATGGAGACTTTTGTATTTTAATAAACTTTGAGAAAAAAAAAGTAAAAAAAAAAACCAAAAAAACAGCAACAACAACAACAACAACAGCAACAAAGTATACAGTAAATTTGGAGTTGGAACTGAAAAAAAAATTTGCTGCTCTTAGCAGGACAGTGGTGTTACATGCTCTTAATCCGGGTATTTGGGAGGTAGAGGCAAGTGGATCTCTGGGAGTTCAAGCTCAGTTAGGGCTACAGAGCGAGTTCCAGGAAAGGGTCCAAAGTTACAGAGAAACCCTGTCTCAAAAAACCAAAAATAAATAAACAAATAAAATAAAAATCAAACAGGGCAGTGGTGGCACACCTCTTTAATCCCAGCACTCAGGGGACAGAGGCAGGTGGATCTCTCTGAGTCTGAGGACAGCCTTGTCTACAAGAGCTGGTTCTATTACAGGCTCCAAAGCTACAGAGTAACCCTGTCTCAAAAAAAATCAAAAATGTATAAATCAAGAAATGTCTCCAAAATATGAAGAATATATAAATAAAGAAATGAATAAAATTTCCTGCACTGGTATATGTTTTATACATAAGCATATATAACATGTATATATTATATATACATATAATACACATATATACCAGTGTATATCACATATCATATATATGTATATATACTTGTAATGTTTTCTCTGTAATTGTCTATTGTTCCTTTAAATTCACTACCTTATAAAGAAAAATGCCTACATTTTAAGCAAGCAAGCACATTTAAAAGGTCACAACAAATTGCAGACAGCTGACTCACAACTAAAATAATTAGTCCACTATAAAGTCTGTTGGTGACATTTTTCTGAAGTTTCAGGTTTGTTTTCCAAACTAAGGTAACTGTGACAGTGTCTTACAGTATCGAAGGTTGGTAAGCCAGACTACTCCACTTAATAGGTTGTTCCGTTTACTCTGTCATAAAGCCTAGTTGACCATAATAAAATAAACATTGGTAATAATCACACTTCTACCATTTTATTAACCTTTGGGTGAGCTAAAGCTCACCCAGAATGAAAACGGTTTATTTTTTAAATTTTTTTTTGATAATTTCTCTTTTTATTGAACTTTTTACATAGTACATCTGGATTACTGATTCCTTGTGACTCTGCTTCTTCCTTGGGATTCTTGACTGCATTGGATCATGAGGAGCAGAAGCAGGGAACAGGGTTTGGGCTTCTGTGGGTAAAATGGAGACAGACTTCAGTGAATCAGCTCTGCTTTTGCCCCAGATTATAGGAAATATATAGGGATATATATGGAATATATATATATATATATATATATATATATATATATATATATATTTAGGGATTCTGGGGACAAAGCCTAATTTGCATTAAGTGGCTCACTCCTTGCTCAAGGCTTCCTACACGGCAATAGGGTCCTATAAACAGAGCTAGCACAAGTCATCTAAGAGGAATCTGTGGCAAGGGTCAAGCTAAAGACAAATCAGGCAGCTGGCTTAGAGACAGCTGTTAGATAAGGTCAGTTCTCTGGGCATAGGGGCATCTCCAGATAAGGGCAGGGAGAGAGCAGGAAGTATCACTGGGGAGGGAGTCTCCATGTGTTGAGCTTTTGGAGAAGGCTGCCAGGCCATGATAGACTGTCACCTCTGATCAACCAGCAAGGCCTTCCAAAAATTGCCCTCCCTGGACTCCTCCCAGTCCCTCTACACATCCCCTCCCATCCATATGAAACACCTTTGGGGGTGTCAAATGACCCCTTCATAGAGGTAGCCTAAGAACATTGAAAAACTCAGATTTTCATTATGATTTATAAGAGTATAAAAATTTACAGTTATGAAATAACAATAAAAATAATTTTATGGTTGGGGTCTCCATAACATGTGGAACTGTATTAAAGGGTGTCAACTGTATTAAAGAGTCTCAGTAATAAAGGGAAGCTTGTGATCCACTGTCCTAGCATATCTTGAAGACAGGATACTATTGTTTATCAAAAGGTTTGTGGCTGGCATGATTACCTTCCTTTGAGAATGTGAAGTAACTTCCTGTACCAAAGAGGCTAGATTATAGATAGAAAGGCTCTATGTAGGCATCAGCTTGACTTTTCAGTGTTGCCTGGATGGTGTTTGTAGACGTTGTCTTCAGCAGTAGGCCCTACCTTCAGTTTGTGGAGAATATATATAGTCTTGGCAACAGCCTGGGGTGTTTGAGTATTCCCATGGATACCTTGGTTAACATCTCAATTAAATGTAACCTAATGCCAGTGCCGGAAACATCATTTGGTGACAAGAAATGGTCATCTGTGCTCTTTCTCGACCATTATATGGTAGTTTCACTTGAATTACTTCACAAATGTTTATATTTTAGGAAGCTTCTATTGTATTAGCTTTCCATGCCACCCTTTAAATGTATTTATCTCTTCCTACATTCCCTCCTTTGTTTCCTCTCTCTTAGCCTCCACAACCCTACCCCTCCATAAGAGTACTCCCATCCATCCACAACATTCAATTCTGTTTCTCTTTCTTAAGGAGAAGTATTTTTACTCCCTAGTCCCTAACTATATACGAAAACTCTGTGGTTTTATGAAAATTACTGGGTTATCATTGACTTAAGATTAATATCCATGTAAAAGTAAATACATACAATATTTTTCTTTATAGGTCTGGGATACCACACTCAGGAGATGTTTTTGTTTTTGTTTTTGTTTTTTTCTAGTCCAAACCCATTGTCTGTGCAAATCTCATGATTTTATATTTTTTAATGGCAGGATAATCCGGTAATACTCCATTGTGTAAATGTACCATATTTTCTTCCTTCCTTTATTCCTTCTTTCCTTCCTTCCTTCCTTTCTTTTTTTCTTTTCTTTTTTTATTTATTTTTAATATTTCAAGACAGGGTTTCTTTGTAGCTTTGAAGACTGTCCTGGAGCCAACCCTTGTAAACCAGGCTGGCCTCACACTCACAGAGATCCACCTGCTCTTGTCTCTCGAGTGCTGGGATTAAAGATGTGCTTCACCACTGCATGGCCTACCTTTTCTTTATCTGTTTCTTTGTTGAGGGATCTAGCTTCTTTCCAATTTATGGATATTATCAGTAGATCATCAATGAACGTGGTTGAATAAATATTTCTGTGATAAGATGAATGTGTATTTATGGATATTATCAATAGATCATCAATGAACTTGGTTGAATAAATATTTCTGTGATAAGATGAATGTGTATTTTGTGCATATACTCAAGTATTAAACGGCCACACCTTGGGGTGTATTGATTTTCCAGCTTGCTGATGAACTGCCAGACTGTTCCATAATGACAGTACATGTTTGCACTCTCATTGTCAATTGATAGCCTTCCCCTTACTCTACAGCCTTGCCAACATGAGCCATCATCATTAGCTTATTTATCTTAGCTATTTTGAGGGTTGTAGAATAAAATATCAGAGATTGATTTGTGGTTCCCTGATGTCTAAGGATAGTAAACATTTCATTAAGTGTTTTTCAAATATCTCAGTTTTCTGTTTTGAGAATTCTCTGTTTAGATTTATACCCTATTTTATTTATTTATTTATTTATTTTTATTTTTTTTATTAAATTATAAAAGTTTCCATTTCAGCCCCTCCTCCCAACACCCTCCCACTCCCCCCACTCCCTCTTCTCCTCCCTCTCCATCCCCTAGAGCAGTCAGGGTTTCCTGCCCTGTGGGAAGTTCAAGTTTCTCCCCCCTCCCTCCAGGTCCAGGAAAGGTGAGAGTCCAAACAGACTGGAGCGCCAAAATCCAGTATGTGCAGAGGAAGCACCCCTCACTAGCCATGGTATAGCTGGCCCTGCTTCTCCCTGAACACTGTATCAGGGAAAAAGGCTCCCTCCTCACCATGGGGCTAGATACAGGCCTAGGAGACCCGGCTCTACCTCTCACCTGAGAGGAGTGGTCCAAACTTAGCTATGTCCAAAACCCACATCCTTGACCTTGAGTTGACCCACCATAACATCTACCCAATCTAAGACTTGTTGGAACATGTGAAGAGACTGATCTTGTGGAATGTTAGCCACAGGGTCCTCATGACTTGGGGCACCAGCAGGGTATCTGACAGGAGTTTGTGTAAGGGTCCAGTGATGATTGTGCGCCAGAAGCCATCAGTCTTGAGCCAGACCAATGACTCATTAGAATGAACATTTCCAAGTGGAGCTGATTGGACAAAATGGTATGCTGTGTGACACATCAGAGCTCCCAGTGCCACTAGAACAAATGAGGAGCTGTTTTAAAGATGGAAAAGATGAAGGAGGGAGATAGCTTTGTTTTATTTTTTTTAATTAATTTTGGGGGAGGGTTTCTTTGGGGAAGATGTGGCAGGAATGAGGGACAAATATAAAGGTTCTGGGAGGTGAGCAGGATTGAGATGCATGATATGAAATTCCCAAAGAACCGATAAAGAATTGTGTTGTATATAATTTTTTTATTTTGGTACATATGCATTAATATGGCAATGCTACAGAGCAAATTTTAACTGTACAATGATGCAACAACAAACAAATCAGTTGTTCACAATTTTACCAGAAAAAAGAATATATATTATGATTAAAATCTGAAAAATGGCATTGATTGCTATACCATATATTGATATTAGAACACGACTCATAGTTGTTAGGTGCAGGTAGGAAATGGAGGAAGAAGTATCATTTTAAAAGGTAGTACTTGGTTACATGTGTATATTTCTATAAATATATATGTGTCTATTTATCTATTATCTGCATATCTATGTATATTTCTTTCCTTTGATCTTTTTCTGTATAATCTATCATTTATTGATCTTTGCATCTATCTATCTATCTATCTATCTATCTATCTATCTATCTATTATCTATCTATGTGCTCAAATGTTTGTTAGTATATTAAGCTCATTATTTTGTAACCTCCAGAATATCACAGTTTCAGATAATATGAAAAATAATACATTCCTGTCATTCAATACTCATCTCAAGGGCATTGAGTTGAGAAAAAAGAAAAATAAGTTGCAGAGATTGAATTTCAGAGATAAGCCTTAAATATCTGTTGGTCTTCTGATACAAGATTGATTAATTAAGTGTCTTTATTAGTTTCCTATGATCAACCACCAATCAGTACTCAGCAAGCAGTAGCTGCATCAAATACAGGCTATCAACCACTTTTCTGTCATTTAAATAAGTATCATGTGTAACTATGAGGCCAATGAATCAATTAGTCATATTTCTCTGACAGAAGTCTTCAGCTTAAGGTGTTAATAGAGTTGATAACTTTGAGTGTGAGGCTTTGCTCTACCTTTTTAAACCAGGCATTGTGGAAATTCATCTCTTTTCAGCAACACAGCGGCCTCAGGATCTGTCATTCTAGAAGACAGCATTTGTAGAAAGTGTAGACTAGCAGGAACACTCTGCATGTAGCATAGATTTACCCAGTCCCATCTGTCAAGCAATAATTAATTTTTCTCTTTTATGCTTCACCCAAAGTTAGCCTTTTGACATTTACTATATTTATCAGTGTGGTGCTATGAACAATGAGGCATACATAGAGCAGAAACGACCAGAAGTTTATAATCACAAACATTTTGTTTTGGTTTTTTATTTAATTTAGAAATGCATATTTGGGTCTTTACTTAATTGTTTCAAATTTTCAATTTTATCAGTGTGGTTCCTCTCCCAAAGAGACTATGTATTCACCAATGTTCTGTTCTCCCTGGACTTATTTGTCTTTCTCATGCAAGAAGTTCTTCATATAAAATTTTATTTTCTCCAAAAGACTCAGCCTTTTCTTCATGCCTTTCTTTTTTCCCTTTGTACTACAAATCACCACCTGGATCTTTTTCCATGTCTTCTACAGCTTTTGTTTTCCATCTTATTGAATGCCTTTTACATATATTCTTTATAAATAATATGGATTTTATTTTACCAAATAAACCAATTCTGACAGTCAAGAAGAGTATTCTTCTCTACTTCGTGGTTAGTCAGACTTTCAGTCTACTGATAAGATCTGAGACAGCAAGGGAAGACGGATTTATTCTTGCAATCACTTCCACAGATTTTAGCTCAAAGCCTGTAAATTCATTTAGTGCAGGCTGTTGTGAGCTGAAATATCACAGTAAACAAAGTCTCAGAGAATTATTTCTCATATTGTCCCATCCAGAAAGATGAAAGAGACCTGAATGGGTGTATGATCAGCAGTATCTTAGCAGGGCATGTTTCCAGATAATTATTTCTTCCAACACAGGTCTGTCTCCTTTGCACTACAACACAACATTGTCATTATTTCCGGAATTTACCAAAGGAGTAACAACTGAGTAAATCACAGTTTTCATGAACCAATCATTTCACTAAAGCTCATCATCTGAGAGTCAAGCTTTTATCAAAGCTTTGGTGGACATTTCTGATTTAAGTCATAAGTACTACCTTCTTTCCTTCATGAATGCTACTGTTCTAGTCTTAATCACAATCATTTCACTTACAGACTGTACTTACTATTAGATATTTTGTTATTTTTTAAACATTGAAAAACTCTCCTATTTTTCATGGCACACATGGACATTGATAGACACAATGAGGGAGAGGATTACGATCTAACCTCTTAATATTTTATCGACGTCTTCCTTTAGTCCTGCTTGTTTTAAATACATACGTGAAATCCATAAAACTAATTTAATTTTTTCCCCTATAACTCTGATTAAAATTAGGCGAAGTTTACAAAAATGCAAGATATTCAAATAATACAAGAATCCATAAGACTGTCGGTCTTCAAAGTGGCAGGACCATAATCACTTAATTTTATAATAAATCTTGCAACTGAGTAAACTTCTCTATTATCGCCACAAGTAAACTCCTAGCAATTCATTGGAAATCCAAGGCCCTCTGTCAGGAAATTGATAAAAAAATAATTGAAACTATCTTGATTCCTTGCAAATTAGTCAAGAATGATTAATTTGAGGATGAAAGATGACAAGTCTTAGACATGTTCAAACGAGTTAATTTGATGTCACACTGTATTCTGAATAAGCTATTCTTAGTCATCTTGTGTTGATCTCTATGATCCAATCTAACTCTTTAAATAATCCTAATTATAGGCTGTTGCTTTCTTTATACTGTTCCTTTTATTATAAGAATTCAAAGTGTTAGGACAAATAACATTGCAAACAAATGATGCTCCAGTTGAGCAAACCACTTAGAAATGTCATCCTCTAAGGTCAAATTCCAAAACTATCTGATCATTATAATTTTTTTAATCATGTTTTCCCCTCTTTGTCTTAAGAACAAAAGAATCCACTGAGCTAAGCAGCAACCACTGTTTTGAAGGCTATTTATGTGTCAGACAGTTGGATAAGTATGCTGACATTTCTCAAGGAAGTTTCTTGAAACTTCTAGCATCTTCATTTGGCCATTGATTAATTGTTCTTAGAGAAACTAAGTGACAAGAGAGCTTCATGAAACTTGGTGCTTAACTGGAATATAGATTCAAAATGATTTGGTTTTCACTTCAAAATAGGCTATTTCTTTTACCTAGCCTCTAAAATCTACGGCAATCAAATCAATTTATATTACCTAGCTTACATTTTAGTTTTGCATGAAATTTTTAATTTTTCAGAGCTGTTATATCATTTAAAAGGATTTTAAACTGCCTAGATGGTGACTAATTTGTATATTTATTATTTGATTGAATTTATTGAAACAATTAAACAAACCAAAATGCTCTAACTGTCAATATTTAAGTGATTTTATAGTTTTTGTTTTCCATATATTTTAATGATTCCTTTGTTTCTCCACAGCTCATTTTTATTCAATATTAATAATTTGCTAAAATTGTGTTTAAGATGATTATAAGCTATTAATGTCTGTTTTATTTTATCTAAAGACATATATTTTCCAATATTCCATCTTTTCATAATGATATTTTGTCTCAGTTCTATATTTCACACAGTTAAGTTATTTAATTATACTAATATTATTTTTATGGAAGTTACCTAAGTCTGTGTGTTCTAATACTTGACTGCCAAATGTCCCTAAGTATCAAAAGATTAAATCTATAACAATAGTCTTCAAATAATTACAGTTTATTATAGCATATGACTCAGTTAATAAAATAAGTTAGCTTTAAAAACTTAGGAATTTCAAGTGTCTAAACTTTCTTGCCTTTAGGCTTTCTTCAAGGCGAAACATTTCAACTCAAAAACACCTTATTTTTAGAAGAATTCATCATCATCCTAAAAAAATATAGCTGATACTTTGTATATTTAAGGGAAAAAATTTCAAACTATTCTTGCCTTGAATAAAATTTGTAAAAATAAATGATTTTTAGTGTCTTTGGCAAGTGGAGACAGGCAAAATCTTCTTGCCTTAAAAAAGTTTCTCCAAGTTTCCTCATTTTAGAATTCCAATTCTAGAGCTGTCCATTACCATGAGGGTTACTGTATGTACATCAGCAAGATCACAATTGCCCTAGTCACGGCAAACCTCCCTTCAATTATGGAGCCTTTAATCTAGTTGTAGACAAGGCATATATCAGATCCATTATAAGATGACAATACTAGAATGTGGAAAATAGTATGTATTCAACCTGCAGTGCATACAAATTGTTTCAAAATGTTGGAAATAGGAGGGATGTGGAGATTATTCATTAAAAAAGATTTATTTTATTTTACATGTATAAATGGGTATTTGGCCTCCATATATGTATGTGCAACACATACAATCCTGGAGATTATGAAAGCTGGAAGAGGACATTGGGCTTCATAGATATGAAGGTATATATAGCTGTAAGCCATTGTGTGCGTGCTGCCAACCAAACCTTGCCCTCTCGGAGAGCAGCAGGTGTTTTAACAATGAAACATCAATTCATCGCGAACTATTTTATTTTTTTAAAGCAACTCAAGCTGAGCCCTGGATGTGCAGCAAGACATTCAGGTAAATAAAGTCATCGATAGCTGTTGTGTTATAGAAAAATCTGGGGCTACTACCATCCATGAACATTGGCAGCAAATTTGTAGGTTGGCCTGTAATATACATTGTATAATCATCACTGTTTGGGTTTCCTTCTGGTCACCATATTGATATTGTTGTAAGATCTTAAATGTCAGTATATCTATCTATCTATCTATCTATCTATCTATCTATCTATCTTTCTATTTATTTGTGTTTATAGTTGTCAGTACGGTGGATTGAACCTCAGATCTGGAGAATGCCAGGTAAATCATTCTATCCACCATTTAACTGTCTATCTCATACTCACAATAATTTCTCTTACAGAAATATTTGAGGTGACTAATTAGATAAAAAACTAAGCATTGAGAGGAATAATGTGTTGGTAAATTATAAATATGTAATATCAACAATTAGCAGGTGGCTTTTAAAAATGTAACTGATTTTATTCCTCTGACAGACATATAAGTTGTTCTTGTTGTCTATTTACTTTAGAGCTATAGGATAGTATGGAAAGCCATGGAAACATTTTTAGAAGAAAATATTAAGGGCATGTTCCCAAAGTTTCTCCTTTTTTTCTTTTCTCTTTCTTGAAATTTCACTTGTTTTTGCCATTTTTTTCATGAAGGGAAAATAATTATATTAAAAATAGTAAAATGTCTTCTGGGCAAGCAGAAACTTAAATACAAGACTCAAAGTTCTAAGGGAAGCAAACCATTTGTTATTAATAAAATTTGAGTTGAAGTCAATGAACATTAAATTTCAGTGTACATGGGGAGAATGATAAGAATAAAATGATTCCTAAAATTGCTTCTAAGACTAGGACGATTTTTATTTAGCTAGTGTAAGTTTTTAATAATGGCATTAGAAGTAAACTTTCTAAAACTTTAAATAAACTTTTATTTTTGTCCTGTAGCAAAATTATGTGGAGACAGAGAAGACTCATGAGCAAACAAGTTCTAAAGACTACAAGGACAGCAGTATGCATGAAACAAGGGAAGCCTGTGAGCTATACAGCTGAAATACACACACACACACACACACACACACACACATATATATATATACACACTTGTCCTACCTACATGAAATTTATCTAATGGCATATTTTACACTTTACATTTGTTACAATGTAATTGCATACTTCATCTGCAATGTATCATCATGATATTTCTAAACAGTGAGAGACCTAGGATAATTAAACACAGAATAGAATGAAAAATATCATTCATTTTCTTCTATAAATTAATGGTAATTTCAGTCTTAATTGCCTTACATATGTTTAGAAATTACTCTCAAGGTGAGAAATTCTACACTGAGCAAATTTTCTAACAGTGCGACAAAGTTATAAGAAAAGGTAATAGTCACTGGCTCACAATCAAAAGACATTTTCCAGATAACCACGGCTGCTGAATTTGGATTATGCATTAGACTTACTGTGACCTCCTTAAAAGTTAAAATTTTAAACCAAAAATCCAGTCATTCAGGGAATTGTCTGGTGTGTCCTAAATGTGCTATTCACTAAAGTCTCCACATGATGGTCACAGTATGCAAATTGCACAAACTGTTAATTTACTGCCAACTCGTCACCACTTGCAAAGTCTGAAGAAGCAGAGTGAATTCATCACTATCAGCATCTTTGCCTCCATTTCTGCCATCTCATAAGAATGCAAAACCTACAAGACCAAAGAGGATCAAATACCTGTGCTGTTGTGTATGCGTGTGTGCATGCATGCATGCATGTGTGTGTGCATGTATGAGTATGTGTGTGTATGTATGTGTGTGGGGGTGCAGGATAGGAAACTCAGGGATACACACATGCTCAACAAGTATCTCCCTGTGAGGTGCGGTCCTTCACAATGCATTTCTTGACTGAATTAATTTACAAGAACTAGACGTAAGCTAATACTATATTTAAGGCTTTGCACACTTGTTAGAACTTGTATTATCTAGTAGCTGTTAAATATGTGATACAATTGCTGTATTAGAATAAAAGCAATGAGAAACCACTTACCAGTTAGAGCAAACATAGCTAATTGGTGGGAGCCTGTTCAGTGTCTCCCCCATCTCTTTTTTTCAACTGAGTTCACATTTTCAAAAGCGGCAAGTTCTCCTCTCATCACAAAAGCTTGAGGCTGCATGAATTATGGAAGCAAATGCTCCATATAAGTATAGATTAAAAAAATTACAGCTCTTCAACCTGGAGAAATAAAAGTCAAGAAGGGATGTTACAAAATCCATAGATTCAAAAATATTATGAGAGAATGGAGATGAATATTTTCAGCAATGTGAGAACATTTGAAGAGGCTGCCCCTAGAAAGTCACAAAAGACACTTTTTAGCACTAATAAAAGACACTTCCATTTTACAGAGTGAGTTGTAAAACTCTGGAACTTAAAACTCTGAAAATGATCTGTGTTGAGGATATAAATAAACTGAAAAGATGGGAGAGAAAATTCCATGGCTTATAAATCTGAAACAAATTGAAGAAAAACTAGGATACATGGCTGATATGGCTCTAAGATAAGAATTTTATTAATATTTTAAACAGTGTCCAGGTTCTTTGAAGTTCTCCAAATCCTTGAACTCTGAATTTTGTCTGCTTAAGCTTTCCAAACAGTGGATTATTGTAGTTTCTGCTAAACAGGAAAAGCTAATCCTATATCATCACCCCATATAAATAGGTATAGGTATTTTATTGACCTTTGAATATTCTTAATAATCAATTTTTCTCAATAATTCATCCTGAATAATCATTTCTTAATCATAATTTATTCTTAATAAATTAGGTAAACATTTATTTGCCTGGGATTCTTCAAAAACATAAGGCTATGTCCATTCTAACTTTTAGTTTACAGTAAAATTTAAAGAAACAGAATAGAGTTTTACAGATATCCATGTGTATTGTTCTAGTAAGCATCATTTTTAGACAGGTGTTGCAGGAGCCTGCTTGTTTGTTCCCAGCTGCTCAACCCCAAAATAACCTCACAGAAACGGTATTAATTAAATCTCTGCTCTAGCTTCTTATTGGCTAACTTTTACATTTTAATTTAATCATTTCTATTAACCTGTATATTGCCATGTGACTGTGGCTTACCATGTAAAGTTCCTGGCAGAAGCTACATGGCATCTCCTGACTCATCTTTCTTTCTCTCAGCATTCAGTTTAGTTTTTCCCACCTAGCTCTGTTCTGCCCTGCCATAGGCTCAAAGCAATTTCTTTATTCATTAACCAATAGAAGCAAAATATAGACAGAATTACTTCCCATACCATTTCCACTTTTCTGTTTAAATAAAAAGGAAGGTTTTAATTTTAACATAGTAAAACTACATATAACAAGACAGGTATCAAGCAAGAATTACACTTACAACATTTATAAATACTTTATCTTTTATCATAACTAAAGAAAACTGTAATAATAACTATGTATTCTTCAACTCAGTCAAAGACTCCAAAAGGATATAATATTACCTGAGTTAAAAGGAGACACTTGTAAGCAACTTCCAAAATTCTACAATTGACAGAGACATATTGATGCCTACACAGTTACCTAAAGTTCTGTAATGTTTCAGGCCTCCATCTTTGCCCTATAGGCCCATAGTATCCAGAAAACTTTTACATGAAGCAGAAAATTTTTAAGACAGTTCCTCCTATATTGGCAATTTGTCACTCTGGCAGACTCTTTCACAAAACAGGAACCCGAAGAATCATCTCACCTTTAGGCAAGTTAAGTAGTCACTTCTCTGTGGGTCTTGTATGTTCAGTTCATGTAGCATAGCATCAAGCTGTCCAGCCAAGAGCAGATTTGTAGCCAAATGGTTAACCAAGGCCATAAGGAGCAGCAAAGGTACCCATCATTCTCTTGAAGTAGCTTGGTGCTGCCAGGAGCAGATGTGTCTCATTGTCATGAAAGGTCTAAGGTTTTAAAATTAAAACCTTTCTTTTCATTTAGACAGAAAAGGATAGGTGATGTGTGATACCCATCTGCAAGGTGTGAATACCATTGGTTAATAAAGGAACAGTCTTGGGCCTATACAGTGCAAGATAGAGGTAGATTGGGGAAAATTAAACTGAATGCTGGGAGAAAGAAGGCAGTGAGATGCCATGTAGCCACTAGAGGGAAAAGTCGTGAGACACTGGATGGCACCTTGCTGGTAAGTCATAGCCAGGTGGTGATACACAGATTAAGAGAAATGGGTTAAATGCAGATGTAAGAGCTAGCCAATAAGAAGCTAGAGCTAATAGGCCAAACACTGATTTGATTAATACAGTTTTTGTGTGGTTATTTTAAGTCTGGGTAGCTGGTAGCAAACAAGTGGTCTCTCTACTACAATTAGGCATGTTGCGAAACTTTAGGAGTCCACCTTTGGACTTCAACACAGGGGCAATAGTGGGATTCACAAAGTAACGGTTGGCACCTTACTCCACATTCCCTAGAATACAGATTAGCAGCAAAGTTTTCATTTGTTTATATTCTTTCAGCAATAAAATGAAAATAAGGGTATCTTCTTTTGCATCTGTAACTGGGATTAAGTATAATAAGCTACTTTTCTGCTACAGAGAATATTGTCTCTCTCCTAATTCTCTTCCTTTCTTCCTACCTTTCACAATAAACAACTAAAGGAAACCTATTCAGTCTCACAGTTTGACTGATACCATGATCACATTTTTGCCGGCTGAATTTATTTTTTATCAAGAATGAATGTAGATTGACTCTGGTGATAAAAGCATTTATCACCATGCCGTCATTCTTATGCTAGCTTAAGAACCTATGTATTTACAGTAGACACTTGCTGAAGGAAGGCAGCAATTTTTCTACACTCAATTACCCTTGCTTAGCTGCAAGTGTTCTCATGACACCCAAGTATTTGAGTACAGAAAAGCTGAATTTTATGAATGGCTTCAGACTGAAAATCATTTCCAATAAACATGAGTCCTTACATGTATCAACTGCTAATACATATGCATGAATGAAGCCTGACGCAATTGGGTAGAAACTGCAAGCTCAAGCACATTAAGCAAACTCATGAAAATGTAAATTAGTATTGGCTGTTTTCAGGAGATTTTCTTTTCAGAATTTTACAATTAAATTATTTCAGAATCTTGGAATTAAAATTCTAGGGTCACATCAACCTAGAAGAAAGTAACATTTTGAACTTCTCTACTTTGTTTTTAAACATACAACAGGCACTTTTATTAGGGAAAAAATTAAAAAGCTAGAAAATTGCATGCTGACAACTGTTATTTTCTGTATTTGCATGGTTTATTGAAGTGGATCTCATAGAAAGTTCTGACTTCCATTTTTAATTCTGTTGATAAACACATAATGCAACTATAAAAGTCACCTAGCTCTAATAATCTATTGTTAGCTGCCTCATTTGTATCATAAAAGGGAAAAGTCAAAATATATGAATTATCAGAGTATAAAGTATAAGCTGTTGTTTTTTATTATTGTTTCTATGAATTAATTGTCTTGAGCAATCACCATGTGTACATTATTTCAATATAATAGGATTTTTCTTAAATAGAAATAACCTTTTATTTTATGAAAGTGTTTCATTGTGAAAGATAATTAAAACCTACATACAAGTATAAGTTTATATTATACATACACTATCATTAAAATAATATAGATGCATATATACCTACATAATGCAATACAACTTAGCAATATAATGGATTCATTCCTATTTTTTGTAGTATCTTGATATTTTAAGATTAACTACAAAGAGAAAGACAAATATCTCATGGTTTTATTTACATGTGAAATTGACAGAAGCTGAACCCTTAGAGGCAGAAGATGGGAGATGTGTTGCCAGAGACTGCTGGGAGAAATTGAAAAAAGGCAATGATATTTTGATCAATAGTTAAAAGATTCAGTTAGGAGAAATGATTTTTTGTGCTCCTTTCTACAGTAGGGTAATGTAATTAGCAATATTGTGTTATTTTAAAAATTCCAGAAGTGTAGACTCTGAACATATTCAAAAGAAAGTAGTAAGCACTTGGATTTATGGATATGTTAAATAACTTGATTTCACTATTAAATAATGTATATATGAATAGAAACATCTCATTTTGTGAAAAATCTTATTTAACCAAATATATTCAGAGACATCCTAGACTAAACCTATGTTTGGAAAACTATTTAAAGCTGAATTATGGATTTCTTATAAATGCCTGTTCTTCCTAGTCTCGATGCCACCCAAATTTCTCCTATATCCTCAACCCATAAAAGGCTGCAAATTTAAGAGGTAATGAGGGTGGTTCCAAGATAAATACATCACAAAAGTATGCATAAGAAAGAAAATTCATTGTTTCACTATAGACAGGTATTTCTATTAATTTATGGAAGTGTTTGTCTTGCTTGTAAAATTCTATTTTATGGAATGGAGAGTTATTGCTGCTATAAGATGTAAAAAATGGCGAGACACCAGAGGAAAATATAATAAGGACATTTGGGTTAAGAATACAGTAATATCCAGCACTTTCAGTAGGAAGCTGGAAAAGTTATTGTAGCTGGTTTTCTTTTCTATAACAAAATGGAGAGTTCTTACTATTAATAAACCTAATGATCTGAATACTGTCATAGATATTTGGGATCCTTTTAAATTAAATTAAAGCCATTGCTGAAATTTCTTGATTTCTTTTCTCCTTTCTAGGAAGTCGTATCCATTTGAATTGAGTTTTAAACATACCTGTGGCTTTGTCCTGGTATAGGAGACTGAACAAAGATCAGACTGTTGAGAAAAGAGAGGCACACTGTACAAATCTCGCCATCAACTCAGGATTCATTCTACCCATTTTTAGAACAGAACCCCGATTCTGACACCTTAGGAGAGTTCCCAGCCGAACGTTTGGTTTCACATTCTGTTTGCCATTGAGGGTGGCCTTAGTGGCACAGTTCGGACCAATAAAACGCAGAAGAACAATATCAGTCAATGCCCCCAGGAGAGCAACTCATTCTCAGATAAAGAATACAGGACAGATTTAGCTTTCGGTACCCTTTTCTTTACCCCCTTTCCCTTTATCTTCTGTGGTGCTTTTCTGATGCTTAGCAATGCAGGAGCCATGTTGCAACTGAGGATAAAAGTCACATTTCAAAGGCTAGAGGCCCCATAGGTAGATGGTCGCTGAACCACCGGGATATCTTAGGGCCACTGCTCTAAGCCTGAACTCTTTATATAAAAAATAAATAATAAATCACGTTTTAAATCTCTCCTGTTTCTTTCATCTTATATAGTGCCAAATAAGGAAAGGAAATAAAAAGGGGAGGAGGAAAAAGTGTAGTGAAGACAGTGAATCCATATAGTTTAGAGAAAATGAAAGCTTTTAAAGTAGGCAAATAATTATGAGCCCAATCTTCATGCTCCAAAAACGACTCCAACAGTTTAGGCGGTGACATCTGGAGTCTAGACAGGAAGTTGAAGGGTGACGCTGAATCAGCTCCTTCCTAAGAAGTCACCATGGAATTTAAAGATATATACATCGAAAAAAGTAGTAATGTGTCCTTTACTTTCAGCAAGGGGCATGCGGAAAGTCTCTTTATCTTGCCATGTCACCTCTAAAACAAATGTAGGCATCAAATATAGAGAAAGAAGAGAAGGGCATCGAGTAGAAAACTGGCACACTTTGGCACTATTTTAATCTCATGAAGATGTAAATTTTAAAACATCTTTAGATTATATTCCCTGCAAAATTTCGGAAAACTGATCACTATCACTGGGGTGAACATTTTTTTTTTTCGTATACATTTCAAAGTTTCAAATTTTAATCTCCAGTTAACCAGATTCAAATTCTAAACTTCATTGGGATTGCAAGCAGCAAATTACTAATCCGAAAGAAGGAAAAGATGACCTGATTTTTCTGTCTAGCATTCTGGACAATGCAGATGCATTTATGTGGTTCAAACTGTTTCCACTCTTTAGTTTAGCGGTGCGATCTTTAGATGGGCGCTGTTCTAAGTCTCCGTCTTACATACTTTTATTCATCCCTTCTTTTAAAAACACAGCTCCTTGGCTCGTCTAATGCCTTTAAAATATGCTTATAGGTTTCCTGACATTTCTGCCAGGGAGAAAATACTGAAGCCGAATAAGGGATGCTGTGTTCAGTCACTGAGTGTACAGCAAATTTGTCTGCAGCGGTTGTAACTCGAACAGTCAGGGAGTAGGCCGCCCCTTCTGTGCCTCTCACCTTTCTAATTTCCTGTTTTTTTCCTCCTTTGTGAACAGCAGGGATTTTATCTCCTCAAAGCATTTACATTGAACTAAGACTGTATTTGTGGAAAACTCATAGTCTTAAATTTTTCTTTCAAGAAATCTTGCTTAAAACATTGAAAGTCAATAATATTATATGAAAGAAAACGAACTCTCTCAGATCAGTGTGTTCTGTGTGTCTTAGGTAAACATTCTCCATTGCTGGCTCACTTTAATAATGATTATAGTCAATCCAATTCCTCTTTCACCTCTCGAGCCGATGAGAAATTGGTTAACACTGTGTAAGAAGCACCATACTCATTTATCTAAGAATTTTATTTGCCAAATTCCATGAGATTTAAATATTACTTTTAATCTCTTTCCTGTTCATTTTGCTCTTAAATCTTACTTTCTATGTTTACCATAATTAGTCTCAATAGTGGTACTTCTCATTCAATTTTTCTAAGTTATTAAATCTGTAAAATTTTATTCTTCACTAATAAGTAGATTAAAATCAATTGTTTATGCATTCTCTCTCTATGTGTGTATGTTTTCCAGGCATGTATGTTAGTCAGGGTGTATGCATGTGAATAACCATGCATGTAAAGGTCAGTGATAAAACTTGGGTGGTGTTCTTCAAAAATTGCCTATATTTTTCAGTTTTTAAATAGTTTTTGATGTTTATTTTTGAATTTTAATATAATTACACTATTTCTTCCATTCTTTCCTCCCTCCAAACTCTCTTATATATACCTCCCCACTCTACTTTGAATTCATGGGGTTTTTGTAGCTAATTGTTACTTTCTGCATACCTCTATTTGTATATACATATTTATTTTTAAATCTAATCTGCATAATTTTACTTGGACAGATGTCACCCTTTCATATTGAGACAGAATGTCTCACTGGAACTTTCTTATAATGTTAGTCTATTTGGCAAGTGAGTCCCCAAATTCCTCTCATCTTGTCTCTAAAATGCTGAGATTACAGGCATTATCATAATCACCTGACTTTATACATGAGTGCTGCTATCAAACTCAGATTATTTATACATTGTATTTTTCCAATTAAATTAATTCTAGCCCTAATGATGTCTTATTTGTACAACTTAAATAAATTCACGCTGCCACCTATGTTCTCCTTAAAGTTCTAGATACATTCCTTGTTTTAATTTTAAAGTATAGTAAAATGCTTTAAAATCATCCACTGTATTTCAGTAATGGCATGGAGTGACGAGCGAGGTGTTAGTTCAGTTTAATTTCTGAGTGGATGCAAGTAAGCAAGTAAAATAAATAAATGCACGGTCATAGTGACACATACCGGAAAGCTGATGAAGGAGGATTCTCATGATTTCGATGTCAGCCTGGATTACCTAGTCCAATCTTGGACACCCAGAGCAATCAAATGAAACATTCTCTCTAAGACAACAAAAAAGCAAGTAAGCAAAACAAAATATATAAATTAGAAAGAAGGTAAAACACTGAATTCGAGGGAAGAACACCTTTAACATTGAAGAATACTGCAGAGCACACTAAGAATATCTCAAGTCTCTGCCTCAGGAGTTCATGGCCAAACGAAAGATGAGAGGCTGATGGAGGCTGCTGAAAATGTTGGAATTTCTAAGAGAAATCCATGTTTGAGTTTGATGAATCAAATAAATAGGAATTTATATTAATAGACTATGAAAAACTGTGAATTTGATATTCAGTGGTCTGAGATTATTTAAGGTATAAGACATATAAAACTTTTAAATGAAATGTGGAGATAGAACAAAGAGTCTTTAGAGATTGTAGTCACAAGAGCTACAGATGAAGTCAACCTCTGTATGCCAAACTACCGGTCACATGACTGATTGAAGGAGAGACTGTCTGTGAATTTAGTAAAAGGAAAAGGGGGTTCCAGTGAAATGATCTAGGGTTATATTGAATTGGCAGGTAGAATAAGGTCAGTAGGCACTGAACCATTTGAGTCTAAGTGGATCAGAACAGCAAATGCCTTTTCCTGCTTCATACATGCAGGATCCATGTGTTGTCGCTTCTATCATTATTTGAACCCATAGTTCTATCAGTTCTTGAGATAGAATTCGGGAAGACTTTAAAGTGTCCCTATCAACAAGGCAGGCATTGACCAAGCCAGACTTCATGCTTCTCTGTGCTTATCAAGACAGAGGGTAAAAGTTATCCTACTTGTCACATAAAAAATGTTATAAAGTCAAGAATGATCTGAAGTACTAAGAAGTGTAGTACTTATCATGGTAGAGTGTTTGGTCTTCTTTGGTAGGCTTTGGAAGGCAGGCATGAGGCAACCCCTCCTTTTCTGAAAAGGGCAAAACTGGAGTAGAAATCTCACAAGGAATTATTCACCAAGGGTATCTTTTCCCCTGATGTCCTTTGCGTTTGCTATCCTCTCTTCGGCAGGCTTTGTGGCCATTACACTGTACTTTCTCAACATTAATATTCCCATTTTCTTCTTTAAATTACCCACTACAAATGATATAAAAGTTATTTCCAGTACATTTTCATTTAAGGATAATGATCACTAATGACCATAAAGCTGAGATTTCCTCAACTTAGAAAGTCTGAATATAGCTAAAGAAGATTTTCAGGGTTGGATATTAATGATAAGTATTGAAGATTAGCTTCAACAAGGTTTAAGATATTTAGGTGTCTAAGTTATAATGAAAATTAAAATAAAACCTATACTTCTTAATAGTTCTAGGCCCAGTAGTGCTTATAAATATACCATTTTGTATTTAGGAATGTGTCTGTGCAAAAATTTATCAGGATCTTTTTATTTAAATAGCAATTTAAATGCTGGAGACTTTCCTAACATTATAGGCACATCAGTGTCTCCTTTTGTATAGCATATGCCCCAGTCTCTAATTTATAATTAGAATATCTCTCCCAGCCTCTAACAACTGCAATGTGTAGTATGAGTTCATTCATTAACTCTTAACATTTTAATTATTAATTCTTAGCTTAAATTTTTCATGTTCTATAGCATTACTTTGAAATCTCTTTTTAAAAGAGGTGCTCTACATGGTGCTCTTTGCTATTTTGGTAAAGTTTGATACGTTCTTCCTTTCCCTTCTTTTCAGTTTCTTCACTACAAGCACCCGCAGTTTCTTGCAAAAGTACATGCAAAAGAACACTTACTATAATCTCCTACTTTTCAGCTTTTTAGCTCTTCTGGTTATGTTTTTTTGTGTAGTTAGTGCCTTATCTGTACTAAGTCTTGTTGGTAGTATATCTTGTGTATTCACCACCATCATTCATATATATATATATATATGAATGATATATACATATATATACATATATACATATATATGAATGATGGTGGTGAATATATGGTGAACACACACACACTATGCTTGTGTGCACTTGTGTGTGTGTATGGAAAAGTATGCTTGACTTATGTTTCTAAGGAGAATTTCCATAGTGGCAAGGTATCCATGACAGCAGACATTCTTATAAGGAAGCTGAGAGTTGACTTCCTAGTCATAAACATAAGGAAGAGAAAATGAAAACGAAGTTGGTCAAATCTGTACTTTCTCAAACCTAACCCTAGTTCTTACTTACTCAGCCCAAGCAACATATCCTAAGGATTCC